TAAACTATTAGCTCCTAAAAATGAACACCATTTCTTCAAGGTGGAGGATTCTCCATTTCATCGCAAAGTGTTACACATTGATCTCTCCAAAGACCATGCCATTGCAAAGGATAATTTAGACAATTACAATGACTTTATAAATCATAGAAAGCACATAAAAAATAATACTAAAAGCATCCTATAACTTAAAACATACAAGAGTGATGCTATATGTAAAATTTTTCTTATAACCTTTTATGGATCTATTAGGGAGTTGTATTATAGTGTTGAACTTGACTTCATCCTTAACCTTCACAATCTCTATACGAAGGTCATCTCTTATCTCAACACTAACATTCCAACTAAAAAAGAGCACAATTGAGCTTTTTGCCATGAATCAATAGAAGATAAAAGCACTAGAGCTTATTTTTAGAGATTCAATAAGAAAATTGAGCTTTTTGCCATGAATCAATAGAAGATAAAAGTACTAGAGCTTATCTTTAGAGATTCAATAAGAAAATTCTAAACTTGAAAAATCTACTCAAACTAATTGTCACTTGGACTCTTATTAGTGTCTAGCCAATTATTACGAGAACACTTATATATATTTTCTAATAAGACTCTTCTCATTGCAAAACAAGCAATGAAGAATCATATTATAGTAAAATAAAGTAACATTAAATAAGAACACCCTAATTTTTAAAGAGTAAAATATCCATAACACCATTAATCTCCTACTAGAGTATAAAACATGAATACCAAGAGGCACATTTGTGATTGCTTGATATTCTTTGAACTCTTGACCATATCATCATGACATATATTGAGGTGTTAGCTCTCATAAAAGAAAAAGATTTTGTGCAATGCCCACCTCCTATAAAAAATGGATCAAATATAAGGAATCTTAACAAGTTTTATCTTTTGACTATGATCATGAGTACAACATATAAGAATATCATGCACTAAAAAAAATAAAATAAAAAGATTAATCTACAAAGGATACCTTAACAATTTATAAAGAAGAAGATGCAACTAAACAAAGATGAAAAAAATCCTTATGATGTTCTTAATTAAGATAAGATAAATCTTATAAATTATATCTCAACTCTTTTTTGAATTTTTCAAATGAAAAACCATAATATTTTTCTATATTTCCATGAAAATCTCCATATCCTTACGGGGCCTTAATGTCCCTACATGTATCCATTAAAATTCTATTGGTTTCCATGATTCCTTGTCTATAAAAGGATCATGAATCAGTGATCCTTTTCAAGGACTCTATGAACATTTATCTTCAAAAAAGAATCACAAATCCTTATTCAAGTTCTACAACTATTTATCTCCTAAAACAATTGCGATCCTTCTTTAATCTACATAACTACTCATGAAACTTTTCATCTAAAATATATTATTGAAACTCATGTATAGACCATATTACTTTTACACTTATTTCTTGTTATTATGCTTAACTTTACAAGTATCACAATTAAATTCTTTTTTTTTTTCAAAAATATTGATAAAAATTTACATGAAGAATTTTTTTTAAATTCTTTTTTTTTCAAAAATATTGATAAAAATTTACATGAAGAATTTTTTTTTTATAGAAAACATTAACAAAAGAGGCCTAGGATAACATTTTCATGTAAACATGACCAAAAAATGATTAATATTTATGCAATAAGTATTTCTCGGGGATGTAATTTTTTTTTCTTGCTGTTTGGGCTAGCCTTCGGCTATAATTTTCGGCCGAAAAACCACCCTAGATTCAATGTTGACCCAATTTATCCAGTCTTGTCTGGTACGCTTTTTTATGCCTTTTTTTAGATCCTATTAGCCGCCCACACAAACTTCTCATGCACTCAATTTTTATATAAAAAACATGACTTTTTCTATGCTATTTCTTTGTAGAGCAGGTGACGTTTTCTATCCTAATCCTAATGAAAGACCTTCACTAATATTTTTCATCAAGAGTAGGACACAATAATCTTGACATGACACATCAATCACTAGCGACCATGGCTAGACAACCCACAATGCTAAGAGGGCTGGGGTCATTCATTAGCCAAACCATCACCAATGCACCAGCAAACTTGGTGTCATTTATTGCTGCAAAGAAATCCTGAAGAGGGATGGGGTCGTAGGCACATGCAAAATAGGAAGCGGTGCCCATAATGCAACACTGGTAATTAGTCAATGTGGACTTGGACTTGTAATCCTATTAAAATTCAAATCACACTTTTTTAGTATTTGAAAGGACTAGAACACTGGTTCTTGTAACATTTGGTCCTTAAGTAACCTAGGAAATATGATGTTTGCTGCTTCTGTATAAGCTTTCCCAGCAGTTTGTTTTTAGAATCATAAAAACACATCTCCCCAACTTTGGCATCCATTTTTCATGTCACCACGTATATGACCATGGCTGGCCTCTTCATCAAACAAAAGTTTCAAATCTTTCTTGATGAAATGGTTCCAAAACTCAGACTGAAGCACACTGTAGTTGTTTAATAATGGAGTGGTGCCATGAATAGATTTCCTTAAAAATAAAATAAAATCTGTGGTCAGACTTGGTGATTTAATGGGTTTCAGAGGATTTTGATGGAGTGGAAATGGTAAAAAAAAATAAAAATCATGAGTTCTCGAGTCATTCTCTTTACATTTGGTGTATTTGGATGTGTAGAGCAGTCGGTTTAAGGAGAGAAAGTTCACACGGAATTGGATCAATTCAAATGGATTGCATCACTGAGAGTAAAGAATGTACAAAATACTGAGTGGGATTGAGTGCTCCTATAGTGTGCACAATTTACTGGAAAGTCTCCATTAATCCTCTCCACAGATATCTTTAAAAGTTACTGAAATCTGCATTTCCTTATCTTCTTGCCAATATCTCAAGCACTTATAGATAACCATCCCTGAACAAATTATGGAGAGCCATTATAAATTCCTAGCGATTGTTGTTTTAGTAATTATTGTTTAATCCCTTTGTTTTTAGAATCATAATTACCTAGACCATTTGGTTTTAAAAAGTGGCAATTGATGAAAGCTAATGACTTTGAATCCTAGGTAGACGTTTGCTGCAAATATAAAATTAAAATCTTGTAAAACCATAGCTTCAAGATGATGATAAAAACTATTAAAGTGATTTTGGGTGAGGGAGGCTCAAACTCCCGGCCTCACAATAACTAAGAAGCTGAGCCACCATACCTTTTCAATTTTGTTAATAGAGTGAATACCTTTTGCAGTGAATATCTTTTAAAAGTATTTTTAATTAAAATAATATTTTTTTTTAGAATTTATTTTTTTTATTTTAAGATCAATATATCCAAACCATCTAAACAATTATTTTAACTTTTTTTAGATAAAAAATAATTTTAAAAACACTTTGAAAAATAAAACCTACAATAATACCGAACCAGAGAGAAATAGGTGTAAGATAATTCAACGTAAATAATCTACTTGACCACCTCGTCCACCATTAGTGCTGGAAAGTCTTAAACCATGGTTTTTAAGATTTCTATATGTATAACTAACCCAACTACTCTTTTGTCTATAATCTGATCCAATGGAGTTCAGATAGAGGGCTCTGCTTACTTCTGTGTCTGAAGGCCTCCTGTACTGGCATTGTCATTTTTTTGACTAACAAAAATATGGATGATTAGACATTAGGTATGCTTTCAAAACTGGTCTGCGTTTAGAATGTGCTATACATATATTTCTCACTTTATTTGGTGTAGTTTCATTTGTTAATCCACTTTAAGTTATGATCCTATGTATGCTTTCAAAATTGGTCTGCGTTAAGAATGTGCTAAACATACATTTCTCTACTTTATTTGGTGTGGTTTCAGTAGGTAATCCACTTTAAGCTATGATCCAATCTTAGACTAGTTTAGTAGCCAGTACACTGCATCGTTTCAACTGGTACACCTACATAATTAAAGGGAGTGCAGTTGACCAGATTGTTCAGGAAAATCCTTCATCTACAATGAAAATTATTTCTCCACCTAATTCTTTTTTTTTCCCTCCTTCAAATTCCGGTAGTTAGATTATAAAGAGGCAATCTTTTTTAAATAATGTCTTCCCTAGAATAATAAATAGGCTATGTACTGACCTTTTTCTTTCTTTTCTGGTCTTAAAAGTCGACATATATAGTTTTCACATACCAAGACTGGTGTATTTACAGTATATTTTTCTCATATCCTTCCGTCCATCGGATTCTAATTTCTGATTGAAATTGTTGAAAATAAAATTATTAGTCAAACTTCACTTACAAGTTTTAAAATCGATATAGTTCACGTATAAAAACTTAAAGACTAAGAGATTAGATGTTCGAATCTAGCCAACTTCATTCTCTTTAGTAAAATCAAGCGCAAAATACTAGTTGGCAGTGCAATTTTTAATCTTGAAGAGCTTTTACTGGATTAGAGTATAATATGAGTATCATATAACCATTAATCTTTGTCAATGATATATACTCTTGAAAGAACTTGTGCTCTTACTCTTACATCATTCTATTCCCCTGGGGCATGAAATGTGCTTCCCGGTTAGAAATAAGACAGAAGAAAAGAAATTAGACTGTCTGAATCTCCCTTCCCACGATTACGTGGTGTTTGTTTTTGTGGGTAAAACTATATTTTGTAATTTTTTGAATATTGTTTTGCTTGAAATTAATTGTTTTTAATGTTTTTATATATTTTCAAAGTAAAAAATACATTAAAAAACAATCACTATCACCCTTTCAAACACTATCTTGGTATTTTTGATTGTGCTTGTTATTTTTGAAGCAATTGCTCTCCCAGAGTTAAGCAACAAGGATACTCTACTTCTGTCCATAACCAATTGTTGCATTTAATTGCAGGGATTGGACATCAAAGACACAAAATTTTATGAGTTGTGGTTATGGCAAAGGATGCGAGGATGTTTCCTGGTATTCAAGAATTTATAGTCAAAAAGCTGTAGAAGCCCTGTTGAAATTAGGTCCCTTTATAGACCCAAGTAGTTTAGACTTGAAACATAGAGAGGGCTAATTAACGAACTTAAACATTATATATGTCATCCAAGATAAGACAGGAACACATTGAGGTTTATAGGAAACCCTTTTATTGTATTTTAGTTTTATAACATAACAAAGACGGTTGCCAGACATTGTAAAATCAGGCTGCTAGTCCATGTTACACGTCTTAATCACCCACTTTTTCCTCCAAACAGTTTCTGAAGATAGTTCACTATCTTGATGTCCAAATGGAAGGCCTTGGCAAGAACATCAGGATTGATGAGAGGATCGGACCCGAACACTGCATTTGCTATTGTAATAGTACCAGGATTTTGGCTGCTTAAACCAGCAAACGCAACTGCAGGGGTTTTGGCAATATTGAGTTGGAAGTGAATGAGGCCAAATGGAAACACAAACACATCTCCAGGGTACAAGACTTTGCTGATGAAACGATTATCTGGATTTGATGTAACAAATCCAACATAGAGTGTGCCTTCGACGACTAATAGAATCTCTGTGGCACGAGGGTGAGTATGGGGTGGGTTTAAGCCACCATGTGGTGCATAGTCAAGGCGAGCCAAAGATATGCCGAGCGTGTTAAGTCCTGGTATTTGATCTACATTTAAGAGAGTAACGTTTGATCCAACTGGGTTCCCTGTGTCTCTGGGAATGTTGAGTCCTGAAAAGGAGAAATCATTTGCTGTCAAAAGAATGTACAAAATACTGAGTGGGATGAGTGCTCCTATTGTGTGCATAATTTACTGGAAAGTCTCCATTGATCCTCTCCACAGATATCTTGAAAAACTACTGAAATCTGCATGTCTTTATCTTCTTGCCAATTTTTCTAGCACTTATAGATAACCATCCCTGAACAAATTATGGAGAGCCATTATAAATTCCTAGCGATTGTTGTTTTAGTAATTATTGTTTAATCCCTTTGTTTTTAGAATCATAATTACCTAGACCATTTGGTTTTAAAAAGTGGCAATTGAAGAAAGCTAATGACTTTGAATCCTAGGTAGACGTTTGCTGCAAATATAAAATTAAAATCTTGTAAAACCATAGCTTCAAGATGATGATAAAAACTATTAAAGTGATTTTGGGTGAGGGAGGCCCAAACTCTCGGTCTCACAATAACTAAGAGGCTGAGCCACCAAACCTTTTCAATTTTGTTAATATAGTGAACACCTTTTGCAGAGAATATCTTTTAAAAGTATTTTTAATTAAAGTAATATTTTTTTCATTTTTTTTTAATTTTAAGATCAATATATCCAAACCATCTAAAACTTTATTTTAACTTTTTTTAGATAAAAAATAATTTTAAAAACACTTTGAAAAATAAAACCTACAATAATACCGAACAAGAGAGTCAACGTAAATAATCTACTTGACCACCTCGTCCACCATTAGTGCTGGAAAGTCTTAAACCATGGTTTTTAAGATTTCTATATGTATAACTAACCCAACTACTCTTTTGTCTATAATCTGATCCAATGGAGTTCAGATAGAGGGCTCTGCTTACTTCTGTGTCTGAAGGCCTCCTGTACTGGCATTGTCATTTTTTTGACTAACAAAAATATGGATGATTAGACATTAGGTATGCTTTCAAAACTGGTCTGCGTTTAGAATGTGCTATACATATATTTCTCACTTTATTTGGTGTAGTTTCATTTGTTAATCCACTTTAAGTTATGATCCTATGTATGCTTTCAAAATTGGTCTGCGTTAAGAATGTGCTAAACATACATTTCTCTACTTTATTTGGTGTGGTTTCAGTAGGTAATCCACTTTAAGCTATGATCCAATCTTAGACTAGTTTAGTAGCCAGTACACTGCATCGTTTCAACTTGTACACCTACATAATTAAAGGGGGTGAAGTTGACGAGATTGTTCAGGAAAATCCTTCATCTACAATGAAAATTATTTCTCCACCTAATTCTTTTTTTTTCCCTCCTTCAAATTCCGGTAGTTAGATTATAAAGAGGCAATCTTTTTTAAATAATGTCTTCCCTAGAATAATAAATAGGCTATGTACTGACCTTTTTCTTTCTTTTCTGGTCTTAAAAGTCGACATATATAGTTTTCACATACCAAGACTGGTGTATTTACAGTATATTTTTCTCATATCCTTCCATCCATCGGATTCTAATTTCTGATTGAAATTGTTGAAAATAAAATTATTAGTCAAACTTCACTTACAAGTTTTAAAATCGATATAGTTCACGTATAAAAACTTAAAGACTAAGAGATTAGAAGTTCGAATCTAGCCAACTTCATTCTCTTTAGTAAAATCAAGCGCAAAATACTAGTTGGCAGTGCAATTTTTAATCTTGAAGAGCTTTTACTGGATTAGAGTATAATATGAGTATCATATAACCATTAATCTTTGTCAATGATATATACTCTTGAAAGAACTTGTGCTCTTACTCTTACATCATTCTATTCCCCTGGGGCATGAAATGTGCTTCCCGGTTAGAAATAAGACAGAAGAAAAGAAATTAGACTGTCTGAATCTCCCTTCCCACGATTACGTGGTGTTTGTTTTTGTGGGTAAAACTATATTTTGTAATTTTTTGAATATTGTTTTGCTTGAAATTAATTGTTTTTAATGTTTTTATATATTTTCAAAGTAAAAAATACATTAAAAAACAATCACTATCACCCTTTCAAACACTATCTTGGTATTTTTGATTGTGCTTGTTATTTTTGAAGCAATTGCTCTCCCAGAGTTAAGCAACAAGGATACTCTACTTCTGTCCATAACCAATTGCTGCATTTAATTGCAGGGATTGGACATCAAAGACACAAAATTTTATGAGTTGTGGTTATGGCAAAGGATGCGAGGATGTTTCCTGGTATTCAAGAATTTATAGTCAAAAAGCTGTAGAAGCCCTACTGAAATTTGGTCCCTTTATAGACCCAAGAAGTAATTGTGTGTATGTTTAGACTTGAAACATAGAGAGGGCTAATTAACGAACTTAAACATTATATATGTCATCCAAGATAAGACAGGAACACATTGAGGTTTATAGGAAACCATTTTATTGTATTTTAGTATTATAACATAACAAAGAAGGTTGCCAGACATTGTAAAATCAGGCTGCTAGTCCATGTTACACGTCTTAATCACCCACTTTTTCCTCCAAACAGTTTCTGAAGATAGTTCACTATCTTGATGTCCAAATGGAAGGCCTTGGCAAGAACATCAGGATTGATGAGAGGATCGGACCCGAACACTGCATTTGCTATTGTAATAGTACCAGGATTTTGGCTGCTTAAACCAGCAAACGCAACTGCAGGGGTTTTGGCAATATTGAGTTGGAAGTGAATGAGGCCAAATGGAAACACAAACACATCTCCAGGGTACAAGACTTTGCTGATGAAACGATTATCTGGATTTGATGTAACAAATCCAACATAGAGTGTGCCTTCGACGACTAATAGAATCTCTGTGGCACGAGGGTGAGTATGGGGTGGGTTTAAGCCACCATGTGGTGCATAGTCAAGGCGAGCCAAAGATATGCCGAGCGTGTTAAGTCCTGGTATTTGATCTACATTTAAGAGAGTAACGTTTGATCCAACTGGGTTCCCTGTGTCTCTGGGAATGTTGAGTCCTGAAAAGGAGAAATCATGTGCTGTCGCCATCTTCGGGTCCTTACAGAATTTCCCATTTACAAACACTGCAGAAAACAAATGCTGGTCAATTCATGCATGCATGAGCAAACAAGGGAACAGTTTTCATGTATAGCTAATAACAAGCCGCAAGAGGCTGCAGCTTCTTATGAAATGTAAATGATAGATGTAAGAAGAATGCATTACCAGCAGCCTTGGGATCATTGATGGCTACACAGAAGTCCTGAAGGGGACTGGGGTCATAGGCAGAGGCAATTGAGGATGCCACAGTCAAGAGAACAAAAGCTAGTAGGAAATGAACACTTCTCATTGTAGTGAAGCTCTATAACTTAACACTCTTTTAGCCGTTATTGCTTGAGTTGAGGGGGTGAGATTTCTTGCATTTGAAAGGAGTCTATTTATAGACTGGACTCAGTGAACCGATCTCGCATTAAAAAGTCTTCCAGATATTGTTATCTATTTTTATTTCTGCGATATGAATCTTCCTTCAACCACTACATGCATTTGTCATCCTTTGAATATTCCATCTTCTTATGCTTGCACCACTAGACTCTTGGGCACGCAAGATGTCTAGTTACAAATTTAGATTTACTTTTTTTTTTTGTATTTTCTATGACCAATTATACCTGGGAAAAAGCCATAATAACAACACAGAAAATGCCAAACCACTTTTTGACCCCTTAATTATAAAATTGTATGATCGAATCCTGATCAAATTGGAAAAGCAAGTATGAATTTTCAACAAATAAAGTTGCATTAGCCAACATTAATGAGTATAATATCCTTTGTATATCATCTGGTTTTGATCATATAACGCACAATATTCCTACAGGTAGTGGTAAACCTAACGCAATTGATAGTTTAAAAAACTTATATAGAAAGAGAACCACTACAACAATTTTTATATTTAAATTCTTTTTTGTTAATATTTATACTATTATTTCATTGATAATTAATTTATTAACAAAATTACTGATAAAAATGCTTTGTTGGTAAATCTTTCGTCAGTAATTTTTTATTCTTCGCTAAGTCTATTGGTAATTAAAAAATATTATTACTGATGGATTTACTAATAAAAAAACATGCAAAAAAAAATATTTGCTTTATTCTGTTAGTATTTTTCTCGAAAAAATAATATATGTAATTCCATCGATAATTATTAAAAATTCATTTTACAAAACTATAAAATAATTAAATTAATATAAATTAACACTCTATAATACTTGCAACACTTGGAAAAAAGAAGAAGAAAATCAACTCAAACAAATTTGCAAAAAAAAAAAATGAAAAAATAAATTCAACTAAAAAATTTCATATGAAAAATGAAGTTGTAATTGCTAAATATTTAAAAATCCTATAAATAAATCAACTAAAAACGAATCTCATATGAAAAAAATAAATAAATCCTACAACAATATTCATACATTTATTAAGAACAAAAACAATTAAAAATCAAATAAAAAAACAAATATAGTGAACAAAAAATATGAAAAAAGAAGGAAAAAAAAATCTTACCTTAATGTGGTTGTAAGTGAAGCTAAGAATAGAAAAAAAAAATCGAATTCGTAAAGTATATTATTTAAAAAAATCTGAAAAGAAAAAAAAAGAGAAGAAGAATACATACCTGAGTATAGAGAAAAAGAGAAGGAGTTGAGGAGAGAAGAGAAAGAAATTAATATTGATATTTTTTAAATATAGGGAAGAAGAAGAAGAAGAAAAGAGCCTTGTTTATTGTAAAATTAGGGATTATAGGTTTTTTATTAGGGGTTTCACCAACAAATAATTAAATATTAATATTTTTAATTATTCCATCAGTGATTTTATTTATAATATTTAATTTAAAATTTCAATTTAGTCAATTTTTTTAGAAATTGTCATATATCACTAACAACTTTTCAATCTGTTAATGATTTTGATTGTAATATTTAATTTAATTTTTTAATTTAATTAAAAGTTTTCAGAAAACCGTCAAATAACATCAATAACTTTCAATGCATTAGTGATTTTATCTATAAAACACAATAAATAACAGTGCAATTGAAAAGTGAATAGTTTTAGACCTTTCTAGAAAATACCGATAGAATATTTTATTGGTGATTTTCTTTGTAATTGACATGATGAATAATATTTATTGTTTACCAATGATTTTATCGACAGATTTCTGTTGGTATAAATAACACGTCATTTTTATTATTTTTATTTTATTTTAATTTTTTTACCACTATAATTCTCTCAGTATATACCAAAAGAATATTTTTGAAGGGAAAATCTATCGGAAATTTATTGATGAAAATATATTTTTGATATTTCTATTTGTATTTATCAATTTTTTGGTAATAAACATAACTTTATAAGTGAAAATTTTAGAAGTGTAAGAGTATCAACATCTAGAGCTTGCATATGATTTTAGACATTTAAGAGAGATTAAATGAAAATAAATAATTATAGTTGAAGGGAACTTGGATGCTCTGAACCTTTATAAATTTATAAGTATAGTTATCATTGATTTTTAAAATTCCAAAAGAAATATAATACTACTAAAAATTTAAAATAAGTAATGAATTAAGTAAATTTAGCCTAGATGAATTACAAAAGATATTTGATAAGAAATGAAAAATCTATGTAGTGAGAACTAAAAATATATATGTTAGAAAAAGAAATTATCAATAAATAGGATTATTGAAACTAGAGGAATTGAACACCATATATATTGATATCAATGCCCTTTCTTTTAGTCGGAAGATGCTTTTCGTTGATCTCTTACTGGGGTGGTGTCACAAGCCGGTTCGAATCCTGTCCCCGCCTAAGAACGTCGAGATGGGTGGATTCTTCTTTAGTTTGATTGCAGGACGTTTTCCAAGTTCGTGATCACCGGAAATGGAATAAGAAAGGAGCTCTCTCTACCATTCCTGGTGAGCAGGAAGAAAACCGTGAGCGGGATAGATTAGAGGTAGAGGTGTGCTCTTTATCACTATCACTAAAGGGCAACAAGCTTCAAAAGAAGGAAAGAAAGATCACGGGGGTCAGACACGGCTACGACTTGAATTCCATTGCTCCGTTGATAGATCCAGATTCGCATCCGCCCATCTAAGATCTTTCTTCGTGCCGGGTCGTGAGCTATGTGGAGCGATAAAAAAAAATGGGATCTCTCCGGGCCTGCACTGCCTTCGCCTAGGACATTAGAAAGGGCGAGAAAGGGCTTGCTGCTGGTTCGGAACTCCCCTATTTGAATCACGCACCTATTTTCAAGTTTAAATTACCTTAAACTCAACTTAAATTAACTTTAATATTAGTTAAACTCATTTTTTATTTTTAATATTAATTTATAGGTGAATTGTGTTGAGTGTTTTTGTTTTTTTAATTTGGTTGAAATGTCTTATTTGTTTCACAAGGTTTTTCTTTTTTAATTTTAATTTGATATCTTTAACACTTCAATATTACTATATTTTTATTAAGTTTGGATTTTCACAATGTTATGAATATTATGAATTATTTTTCTATTTTAATTATTAATGAGAAATTTTGAATAATTATTTGATTTTATTAGTTTTGAATAATATTATATTTTAAAAAAATTATGAAATATTACGTATTTTTAACTATTATAAGATTTAGCGTAGATGAAATTTTTTTTGACACTGTTCATGGATTGCCGATCATAAATCTTAAATTCAAGTTGTGAAAGGATCTATCCTAGATAAAAATAAAGCCCTTCTCTTCAAATGGTTGTGGAGATTTGAATCATTAGGTTCAGGTTCATGGAAGAATATTATTTGCAATATACATAATTTGGAAGCTCTTAGTTTTCCATCCCCTCTTATTAACCTTTCTAGAAGTTCATGGTCTAATATTATTAATGTTTGTTTCAATGATGAAAAACTCCAGAATATTGTCAAAAGGGAGGTTTGTATTTTGATTGGGAAAGGTAGAGATACTAGTTTTTGGCATGATGTTTAGCTTGGAGACTCTTGTTTGGCAGTTTAATTTCCTAGCTGTACAGTCTCTCTGTGGATCAGAAGTCATTTGTGGTAAATATGGGTATGGAATTTCAGATGGAAGAGGGCTATTAGAGGTAGAGAGGTGAGGTGTTTTGAGGATATTTTCAACAAGTGCTGTCCTTGTGGTTTTACATTGTGAAGTTGCTGATAAGCTGATTTGAAAACCTAAATCTAATGGGGAGCATTATGTCAAATCTATGTGTGGTATGTTATCTACTTCAGCACAATCTAACAATCTAATGTATGTAATTCCTTTAGTGGGATATAGAAGGGACTAGTTCCTCTTAAGATAGATATTTTCTGTTGGATGGCAATTTTTGGTAAGATCAATACTAGAGGAATTTTGGTTTTCAGGGGAATTCTTGATGCTAGAGATGCTAGCTGTCCTTTTTGCTTGGTCTTAGAAGAATCTGTAGACCATGTTCTCATTCATTGTCCTAATACTTTGCATATTTGGGCTAGGTTTATTGATTGGTGGAGTATATCTTAGTCCTGCCCAGGAAATTTGTCTGATATGTTTCAACAACGGGAACATCTTGTTCTTGGGAGATTTCAAAGGTATGATTCATTCTTTTCTTTGCAATTGCATGGTCTATTTAGCTGATGCGTCATGAATTAGCCCTCAATAAGAGACTGTCTGATTATGATACTGCTTTTCTCTTAATATTGACTAGACTGTGTGCATGGATCAAAGCTATTTTCTCATATTTTCCTTATTGTGCACTCGATTTATTAATCTCTGCTGAAGGTTTAGCCTGTTGGGATAGTATCAAATGTTTAAGGGTTCTCACCTTATGGAATCCTCCTGATATGTATACTCTAAAATGGAATGTTAATGGATCTTCTAAGGGAAAACTTGGACCTGCTGGAATTGGAGGTGTATTACATGATCATAATGGCATAGTGATGGAATTTTTTTTTCCAGTCTTTATAGGAATTAAGAAGTCAAACGAGGCTGAAATACTCGCTGTAATCAAAGCCCTAGAATTATCCTCTTCAAAGAATACATTTTTGGGAAGGAATTTCATTATTGAGTCTGATTTCGCCTATGTTGTTAACGGGATGAAGAAGCACCAATTTATGGCATTGAAATATCATGACTTATTCATTAGTGCCTTTCGTTATGCTGATCTTGTTTGGGTTCTGTATCTTATTGTCATGTTTTAAGGGAAGCAAAATCAAATGGTTGACAATCTGGCCAAACAAGGAGTTAATAGAGTAAGTGAGTTTCTCACTTGGATTTGATATTGTGCTTCTTTTACTCTACTCCTTCCATATATGTAATTTTGATGGCTTTGATATTAAGTGAACATATGAAGATTGATCAGGAACTGTTGCTTTAGTGCCTTACCTCG